AAGGCCATAGATAGCCTTTTTGAGCGTGCACACTTGGCTGGTCCCATCCTCGTAGCCGTTCGGCTGCGCCATGTAAATATCCTCCCGCAACACTTCATTGAGGAATGCAGTGGTGATATCCATCTGCTTCACGTACCATCCCTTCACAGCTGCGCCAGCCAGCAAAGTCCTCAATATCACTGGCTTAGCAACGGGAGCGAAGATCTCCTTGAAGTCGACCTTCTCTTTCTGCTGAAACCCCTTAGCGACCACGCGGTTCTTGAACCGCTCTAGCACACCATCAGCTCCAGTCTTCACCTTGAAGACCCACTTGCTGCTGATCGGCCGTCGCCCATCGGGTAACCCAACAAGCTCCCAAGTCTCATTCTCAATGAGACTGTTGTACTCCACTTCCATAGCAGCATTCCACTCCTCCTTCTGGGGTCCACTCAGTGCCTCCTCCCATGTGGCTGGTTCTCCAAGCAGAGGTTTGAAGAAAGAGAAGGCCATCTCCTCATCATCTCCCTCATCCGCCTGAAACGCCATGGCACCTTGCTTGGGTCCTCCCAAGCGGCTATACTTCAGCCTTGAAGTTGCAGCCTGCTGCCCATGTGGTGAAGCTCCTTTCTGCACACTCCTCTTAGTGACCTTCACTGGTGCAGTAGGCTCGGGCTGAGATGGTGAGTCCACACGTGACGACTCATCCTCCAACCCCTCCTCTGCAGCAAGACCAGCAACTTGCTTCTCACCACCGCCACTGTGGCCACAGTTCAGCTCTGACCCCGAGAGGTCGTCAAAGTGCAGCTGAACCTCCTCCACTGCTGACCGCTCGATCTTCTGCAGACGCAAGCCAGTCTGCACCTGCTGCTGCCTCTGTTGCCAGTCCTTGTACATGACATCCTCCACAAATTTGACGTCACGGCTGACCAGGGTCTTCTTGCTCTTGGGGTCCCACATCAGCCACCCCTTCGAGTGAGGAGCCATCCCAAGATGGACAGCCCACACAACAGCAACTTCCAGCTTGTGCCTTTGCTCTTTAGGCACCATCACAAGCCCCATGCAGCCCCACACCCGCAGCATGTCAACTGTTGGCTTCTTTCCGAGCCAACGCCCGTAAGGCACCCAATGCTTGTCGCCAACATGTTCCAATACCCTGTTCTTCACCGTGATCACATGGCGAACAGCATCAGGCCAGAACTTGTAGGGCATCCCAGCAGCCCCCAACATGGTCTTAGCAGCCTCGCCAATGGTCCAGTTGGCACGTTCAGCTATGCCGTTTTGCTGCAGTGTTCCAGGGCAAGTAAGTTCATGTCGGATGCCGTTCATCTTGAGAAACTTGGTGAAATCAGCTCCAATGAACTCTCCACCTCGATCACTCCTCAGCACCTTCACCAACCGCATCGCCTGCCGCTCCACCATGGGCAACCAATCCTCCTTGATTGCCGCTGCAGCGTCGCTCTTCTTAGACAAGGGTCGGGCCCATGTGAATCTGATCCATTCGTCCACCATGGTGAGGAAGTACAGCACTCCCCCAGTCCCCTCAGTCCACATAGGACCCACCTCGTCCATGTGCACCACCTCCAATGGCGCCTTTGCCGATCCCTGTGCACGTGAAAACGGGAACCGCGCGAACTTGTTTTGCATGCACGCCTAGCAGCTGCCAAGAGGAGCACCATCTCCTTGCAGTTGCAGCCCATACACGCACTTCTCGTTGTGCATCACCTCCAATGTAGAAACAGCCACGTGCGCGAGTCGCCGATGCCCAGTCTCCCACGTCGCTTGGCCCGAGGTAGCCGACGCCTTCACCGCCGCACTTCCTCCAATCAACTCCTCTCCTTGCACACCGTGCTGCTCCTCGTCGGTGACGCTCTCCTCTATAGATGCCGCGGCTGCCGCCTTGCCCGATTTCCTCAAGGGAGGACCAGGATATGCCACATCCGCTTGTGGACATCTCCCTTGCGATGCAGATCCCAAATGAGCAGTTCTTCATTGTAGGTACGATAGCGCTCCGAGCCAATCGTCTCGAAGTTCACACCCGCATCTCCCAATCGGCCGGTAGAAATCAGGTGCGCGCACAAGTTCGGCACCCACGGCATGTTCTTCAGCCCCACGAGCTCTCCATCCACTCCCATGAAATTGGCGCATCCTATGCCCATGACCTTGGATTTGGCGCCCGTCGCGGATATGACTGTAGAGATGGGTGCGGGCTGAATCTTAGTGAGTATGTCCGCACGAGGAGTCATGTGCCAAGAGCTCCGGAGTCAATCACCCAATGGGTGAGGGGATGAAGAAGAACCTTGGCAGCCATCACGAGGTCAGATGCACCTTCGTTTACGAAGAAGAAGAACCCGGCCTTCCGCTCCTCAGATTTTCCACCTTTCCCATCATCCTGCTCCTCTCCACTAGCTCACATGACTCCCCCAATCCTCTTGCCACCTTGCTGGTTGTTTGATGAAAGCGGAGTCCAATCCTTAGGCGGCAGGTAGCACTTCCTCAAACGATGACCGCACTTCTTCCAATAGAAACCCACCTCCCCTTGGCCCCCGCCGATCTCCTCTATAGGGTTGTCATTGTTCTTGCCCTTCCACTTCTTCTTGAAGCCACTCTTTCCACCTCCAACTCCATAGCCAGCCCCTTCCTCCGAGCGCTCCACACTCTGGCGCCTCAAATCCTCTTCAAGGATACGTGCCCGGATGTAATCCATGCTCCATTGGGGATGTTGGGAGTTGAGGTTGATGGCAAAGGCAGACCACGACCCCAGCAGCTGTATCACAATCTCCACACATTGCTCGAGCTCCGGGTACACCACACAGCCGCCTTGGAGCTTCGTTACATCGCGAAAGCCAAAGTAAAAAAAATAAACACTAAAAAACACACCAGGGTAGTAAAAAAAAATACACTTTGACCCTAGGGTTTTTTTTCTAGATCAAGGAAAACCCTGACGGTTACAAGTAATGGCGACGAGTCAGACTGATATTAAGGGTTTACAAAAGACACTAATAATAAGAGAACCTAAAAATGAAAAATTAGCCCTGGTCCCCACACACCCATCAAGCACTGGAAGACCCCTGTGTGACTCCACGAAGAAAGGAAACTTCACAATACATGCACAACAGATTTAGACAAGGCCTCACTGTGCTCAGGGCAAGTCTCAACTAGCAGGTCACAATGTTGGAATTAAGGTTAATTCGGGTTGCTCCAATAAATATATGTAGTGATACATCTACACTATAGTAGTGTAGAATACATTGGTTGGGTTGGGGGAACTTGTGGTGTACACTCTATAGAGTGGACCACCTCCCAAACCCTATAGATTAGGGTTCTCTCTTGTTGGAACTTCACTTCTTGGAAACCACTTTGGTTCTAGCATGGTTCATGCCCAAGTGGGCTCCTAAGATTCCTAGGCTTTAGGAGGAGGTTCTAAGACTACTAATGCTTCCGCTAGTAGCTTAGTCCATTCTAATATGGTATCAGAGCTAGGAAGGCTTAGCGATCTGTTGGAATAGGAGCTATTCAAGGAATTGGACCATAATACCTTGGTGGAAGCTAAATTGCTTCCATCCCTCCCGAAGGGCTGCCGAAATTGCACCGTGGCGGACTCTGGACGTGGGAGGGGAGGAGGAGAGAAGAAACCCGCTGGAAATCGTGTGGATCCGTTTGGGAGGACGAGAGGAGCGACATCCATTCACGGACAAGCTCAGTCAACGTTGGCCGATCAAGGCGTGCAGCATATCGTTGGAAAGCCCTCGACACGATCTACAACTGTTCCCTCAGAGTCGTCGCAAATCGACGAGCAGATCGGACGCAATTCGCGAAATACAGTCCGCGGACGAATTGGAAGATCGCAAATCGGGGACGATTTAAAGCGCGGAAAAGGGATTGGAGCGCGGAAGCCAAGAGAGGAGGCCAGGGCGCATCCAGCAAGCCAAAAATCGGGAGAAACGGTTGAGTCTTCGTCGACGGAAAATTGGCCAACTTCGACGAGTTTAAACGAACAGCTCGGACGCGGGATCCAGGAGCGGGATACACCATTGGAACGGTCTCGGAGCGAGGATTCGTCTGAGTCAAACGGCTCATCATTCGGAGGTTCGAGCACAGAGTTACGCTCCAAAAACCAAGAGGGGGCAAATCTGTCCACATCGTCTCCACCGCCGCCGCCGTTGCCTCCACCACCACCTCAACGTCAATCTCCAGTGTGTCTGCCGCAAATGGATCATGACTCAAGCGAAGGGAAGCTGGAGAGTGCAGCAAAGTTCGACGGGAGAAACTATTGGACTTGGAGCTTCCGATTCGAACAATGGGCAGAGGCGCACGATCTATCGGGGTACTTTGATGGTTCGGAGGAGCGGCCTGCATCAGGTGACGCACGGCTGAAGTGGGAGAGAAAAGATCAGAAGGCATCTCAACAGCTTTCACACCGCCCCCACAACATTGCAACAGATGGCTCGGGGGAACAGTGTACTGGGCTTGGAGATCGGGGGGGTAAGCACTGATTGCTCCCCATGTGAGCCTTGCTTATTGGGAAAGTCGGCTCGGAAGCCGTTTCCCCACGAGGCGTCTCGGGCACTTGGGCCTTTGGATGAGGTCCACACGGATTTGTGGGGGCCAGTGCGCACACCGTCACTGGGAGGAGCGGTGTATGTCCTCAGTCTCATTGACGACTTCACCATACGAGTTTGGTCGTTCCCACTCCCCAACAAGGAATCGGCCACAGTCGCAAAAGTCCTTCGCCAGTGGCATAAGGACGTGGAGTTGGAGTGTGGGCGGAAGCTGAAGGCTGTTCGCTCCGACAGGGGTGGCGAGTTCTTGCGGGACGCTGTGAAAGCATGGAAAGCGGAGTTTGGCATCAAAACCCAATTGAGTGTCGCAGATACACCGCAGCAGAATGGGGTCGTGGAGAGGTGGCACAGGACGATGGCAGAGGGGATTCGCACATTGTTGGTCGACAGTGGTCTCCCTGCTCGCTTGTGGGGTGAAGCATTGATGTGGGTCGTGTGGGTTAAGAACAGGGTTATCCACCAATGGAGGCGTGGTCCGGCCAGAAGCCGCATGTGGGCATGGCTCGGATTTGGGGTTGCATGGGAAGTGTCATGCTGCATGGGCATGAGAAGGGTGGCAAGCTTGATGCACGGGCTGTCATGTGTGTCTGTGTTGGGGTGGACATGGAGAGCAAGGGTTGGCGCATGCTGGACCCTTCTCTCATGCGCATTCGCATTGCTCGGGATGTTGATTTTCTTGAGAATGTGATGTGGAAGGATTGGGACAAGGCAAAGGGATTTGGGGAGCTTCTGCAGGATGCAGCTGCGATTTCCCAACTCCTCCCTCTTCCACTCTCGCCACCCTCAGCAACGGCTGACGACGTTGAGATGCCACTTTCATCACTGCCACCGGCACCGCTGAGTGTGTCGGTGCAGCAGCAGCCCACCCCTCTGCAGCAGCTCAGTGGCCCCTCGGTCATTCAGCGGAGATCCGCTACACAGTCTACTTCCTCTTCCTCCTCCTCTGGTCAGCGCTCTGTCCCTCTCTCTACGGGTGCCCCTCCGTCACCAGCGACTACCTCCCCACCACCGGTTACGGGTTTGCAGGTGCTTGGTATCCAGTCTGGTACAGGTGGTGAGGAGGTAGGGGGGGATGCTGGTGTGGTTGAGGGCATGCTGTGTTTGGCCAGGGAGGTGGAAGGTGTTGCACTGGCAGGTGTGAGCACCGGTGATGTCCCACGCACACTCGCTGAGGCCCTGCGTGGCCCTGAGGGCCCTGCGTGGAAGGCAGGCGCAGAGAAGGAGGTAAATGCAATGCGTACTATGGGTGTATGGGATCTAGAGCCGGTCGACTTACCTTCAGGTAAGAAGGCCATTGGGGTCCGGTACGTTTTCCGCAGGAAAACTGACAAGGAGGATAAGGTGGTACAGCACAAGGTTCGCCTTGTTGCTAAGGGGTACACTCAGGAGCCCGAGAAGGTTTGTCCGTGGTCTCCAGGGAAGGTTTGGTGATCTGCTGAAGGAGACCCATAGGGTGCATACTCCAATGTCACCCAATGATCTCTCTAAGATCAGGAATGGTACTTGGTCGACTGAGGAAGGTGTTGCAGCTGATGTCAAGGTGTACCAGAGTCTCATTGGCAGCTTGATGTATGCTGCTGTGACCACCCGTCCTGACATGTCTTTCACTGTCAACACCCTTGCACAGTCCTGCGTGGCACCAAGACGCATTCACATGCGTGCTGCACTGAGAGCACTCAGGTACTTGGTCGACACAGCTGATCGTGTCATCAGGTATGAGCGCCAAGGTGGTGAGCAGGTTGTTGGGTACACAGACTCGGATTGGGGTGGTGAGACTGATGGCAAGAGTCGCTCTGCCTACATCTTTAAGCTGGGAGGAGGAGCAATCAGCTGGTACAGCAAAAAGCAAGACAGTGTTGCAGCAAGCGTTTCTGAAGCTGAGTACAAAGCTCTATCGGAGGGGGCCAAGGAGGCCATTTGGTTGAGGAGTTTGTTGGCAGAGATGCATGTGGGAGATGGGGGGGCTATTCCATTGCTCTGTGATAATGAGGCTGCTGTCTCCCTTGCCCACAATCCCGTTCTCCATCAGCGCACCAAGCACATTAAGGTGGCATGGCACTTTGTACGGGATGCGGTGCGCCAGCAGGAGGACGAGGTGCACTCAGTACGCTCCCACCTCCAGGATGCCAACATGCTCACCAAAGCTCTTCCAAGCTTGCAGCTGCATGAGAACCTGGAGCGCATCGGCATGCGAGTGATGGCTGCGAAGGCCAAGGCTTCATTCGCTGGAGGGGTTGTGTTTTGATTTATGGGTGAACTTTAATGCTTATTGGAGCAAGGGGGGGTGTTGGAATTAAGGTTAATTCGGGTTGCTCCAATAAACATATGTAGTGATACATCTACACTATAGTAGTGTAGAATACATTGGTTGGGTTGGGAGAACTTGTGGTGTACACTCTATAGAGTGGACCACCTCCCAAACCCTATAGATTATGGTTCTCTCTTGTTGGAACTTCATTTCTTGGAAACCACTTTGGTTCTAACATGGTTCATGCCCAAGTGGGCTCGTAAGATTCCTAGGCTTTAGAAGGAGGTTCTAAGACTACTAAAGCTTCCGCTAGTAGCTTAGTCCATTCTAATACACAGCACCTCGTCAGCGATATCTCACGGAGAGGCCAGTAATGTGCTCCAGGGAATCCGCCCAAGAAGGCGCTCTTTCACCACATCACACCATCTCCATTCCATGGTTGAGGCACTTATGACTCACATCCAATGCAGTGTCTCTACTCTGCAGTCATGACTCACATCCGGATGTGCCTATATCCGAGGATCACAGTGCATCTCACCGGGCGGCCAGTGCTGTGAAGGCATCTCTAGAGAATGATACGGTAACAAAGCAGGTGCTCGCTCACCACACCACGCCATCCTCATCGCGTGGCTGAGGCGCTTACATCCGCTGCAGTCTCTCTACTATGGAAACTGTGCGTTGAGCAGCTCCAGATCCTCGTCTATGGTCCTCTCAAGCTTGTCACTCTCAATCATCGAATCCACTATCTCTGCACCCGAGGCACTCGCAACACCTCCTCCCAGCTCTGCCCTCATTGCCTCCAGGTGTTGGGCTACTTGGGACATGGAGGGGCGTGAGGCGGTGGGCATGGCAGTGCAGCTGATGGCGAGCTGGGCGATGTGTGTGATGATGGCCTCTGGTGCTGCCATGCGCGCATCCCCCACACTCCATGCCTTCTCTGCTGCCAGCAGCTCGCTCGCCTATAGCAGAGGGCGTTGGGGGGGGAGAGGGAGAAAGGTGTGGGGGGAAAGAGTGTCGAAGGGGATTGGATGGGTGGAGGAGAAGTTGGAGGGGAAGCATGGAGGATGTTGGGAGAAGGGCATAGAATAAGTAGCAAACGAGCATAAGGGGGAGAGTATAATGTCCGAAGGGCGACGTGTGAAGCTGCCACAGGTAGAGCTTGGAAGAAAGAGAGGATGGGAACGATGGGACGACAGGGGCACACAAAGGCACCCATTGGAAAATGATGGTGGGTCGTGGCTTGCCTCAAATCGGGGCAAATGTAGAGGTCCACACACACAGAAAGCGCACAAGCGAGTGCACAGAAGCACGCACCCATTGAATAATGGTGGTGGGCTCGCGGTCCTCATGCACGTGCCCGGGGCCATCGCCCTCCTTCGCCTCCGTGATGACGGCTGCTCTCCCCGACAGCACTGTCAGCATCAACACACCGAAGCTGCACACACACGAGGTACAGAAACGCAACGACGGGGGAGTGTCAAATCACAGGGATTGTGGGAAGGAGACGTGGCAGGGAATAATGCAAGGGAGGCATGGAGGTAGAGCGACATTGAACACACTGAGACTGGAATCCGGGTCAGAGGACAGAAAGGCGGTACTGACACACACGAACATGCACAGTCCGAAGAAACGTGGAAGCACATGCACAAGCTCATGCACATGCACATGCATATCCATATGCAGGCACCTGTAGAGGTCGGTGGCGGTGGTGGTGGTGTGCGTCCTGGTGTAAGCGGGGTCCACATAGCCCACCGTGCCCATCACCCTCGTCGACCCCATGGTTGTGCCCTCCCCCCCTCGCACGAGCCCAAAGTCAGCGACCTTGGGCTGATGGCCGAGAGAGCAGAAGAGGAGAGGGGAGGAGGGAAATTCTCAAAGCCACAATGGCCATGTGTGGTAAGTGAAGGTCATGTGTGGTAAGTGATGGTTATGTGTGGTAAGTGAAGGTCATGTGTGGTAAGTGATGGTCATGTGTGGTAAGTGATGGTCATGTGTGGTAAGTGAAGGTCATGTGTGGTAAGTGAAGGTCATGTGTGGTAAGTGATGGTCATGTGTGGAAAGCGATGGTTATGTGTGGTAAGTGATGGTCATGCGTGGTAAGTGATGGTCATGTGTGGTAAGTGAAGGTCATGTGTGGTAAGTGATGGTCATGTGTGGAAAGCGATGGTTATGTGTGGCACTGACCTGCATGGCGCACTGACCTGCACGGCGCACTGACCTGCATGTGGGCATCGAGGAGGATATTGGCGGGCTTGATGTCGCGATGCACGATGCCAAACGAGTGCAGATACTCCACCCCACGCGCCGCCCCCACCAGAATGTCCAGCCTCTGCTGCAGGGTCAGCGGTGTGGGCGCGTCTGAGGGACCGGGCCGACGGTGGACAGGAGGGGGGCACATGAGGAAAGCCAGTAGCTGTAAGCATCGTGCGGACGCCATTAGAAGACAATTCCGGGGCACAGCGGGGAGGCAGGAGAGAAGAGAAGTGCAAGACGGGGGTGTGCAGGGTCCACTCACACGTGTACAAACCAAGTCACTGGAATATACAACACGGATGCTACTGCCCTTGCTGGGACTGCTGCTGTATGTGCTGCACCTGAGCCCATCCAGTGCTCGAGGTCCCCTTTGGCAACGAACTCGTAGACCAACACGTTCTCCACTCGCGTGTGCACGTCGCCTCCCACTGCGAACCCCAGCAGCCGCACCAAGTTGGGGTGGTGCTTCGTGGCCATCTGGGCCACCTGCACAGCAGAGGGTCATAGTGGTCACGGCACTGCACCACAACATCACTCACTGCACTGTGCTTATTATGTACCCTGTAATTCAAAATGTTGTATCCATTAATTTCTTTCATTTTCTTCTCTTCTCATTTATTCAATCATAGTCTTTTTTCCGTTTCTTTTGCTAAACATAGCGCCTACAACTTGCAGAAAAAAATACCGGCGAGACTCTTCCACCCACCCAGTCCCCTTCCCCCATCTCTTCACACCTCTGAACAGCCTCTCGCCCAGACACCACTCACCACTACTCCAAGCACACACGCACCTCCCTCTTGAAATCACTGGTGATGACTTTGGCGCGCTTCACGGCACACAGCGTGCGGCCATCGAGGGGCGACACCCCCTTGTACACGTCGCCGAAGCTGCCCGCGCCCAGCAGGTTGGCCGTGGCCCAATCACTGGTGGCGCGCGTGACTGCGTCGAGGGGGAACTGCTGGCATGCTGTGGTGCTGCTGGGCGCGCCCTCGGCCCGTGGGGATGCAGCTGCACAAGGGTGACGGCACGGAGAGTGGGCGGGAGGGCGAGAGGCAGGGAGATGAGAATGGGAGGGGGGGAGGGAGGGAGGGAGGGAGGGAGAGAAGTGAGGGAGGGAGGGAGGGAGGGAGGTGAGGGAGGGAGGGAGGGAGGGAGGGAGGTGAGGGAGGGAGGGAGGGAGGGAGGGAGGGAGGGAGGGAGGGAGGGAGGGAGGGAGGGAGGGAGGGAGGGAGGGAGGGAGGGAGGTGAGGAGGGAGGGGCACTTCTGTGAACACTTCATTCATTCTGCACAGCAAACGACCGCTCGAGAGATGCAGCAGTATGAGGTGAGAAGAGAGAGACCTGTGGCGGGCTTGGTGCGGCGAGAGCGAGTGAGGGACCACCAAGCTGCGGCGAGGAGCAGCAAGAGCAGGAGGAGTGCCGCGGCCACGATGCCAATGATTGCTGCTGTGGCCAGGCCGGACTGGTCCGCTGTGGAGCTGGCCGTGGGGGGGGGTGGTGCAGCTGCTTGTGCATGCATGCCATTCCATACCGACCACATTCAGCCTCGTGGGGGCACACACACACATGCAGACACGCACGTCCGTACACACACACATTCACAGACACCCAAATGCTCACATGCACACACGTGGATGTGCATATGTGCATGGACAAAGGAAGACACTGACATGCAGAGTGATGCCGCACTGCACGAGTGGTTACTCCGTTCACTTGCATGCAGGGGATGTTGAGGACTCTCAGAACGGGGCTGTAGCCAAGTGCTCGCTTTGTTCGCATTGCACAGTACAGTACACGGCACGTGCATGCGTTGGCCTTGTAATGGAACAGCAGGGATGCTGATCAGATCAGGCATCGTCATGCATTGACTGCCATTGACCTGCATTGACTGCCATTGACCTGCATTGACTGCCATTGACCTGCATTGACTGCCATTGACCTGCATTGACTGCCATTGACCTGCCGTGACCCACCTGCAGCAGCACCACCAGCAGGATTGGAGCACGTGGAGCAGAAGGAGGGGCAGAGGCGACAGAAGGAGGAGTTGGGTGACTGAGAGACCACACAGGTGGAGGCGTCAGCAGGGCATATGAGTGATGTGCTGGACACATCGCTGCTCGGTGGGGCGTGTGGAAAGGGGCAGTAGAAAGCAGGGGGTTGAAAGAGTGCGGGAAGGGTGGGGAATGAGGTGAGTGAGAGGGTGCCTGGATGTGTGTGAGCAGAGGTTGCAACGAGAAGATAGAGGTGCAGTGAGGCGGAGAGCACAGCAGCACAGCTCATGGAGTCTGATCAGGTCACAGCGGCTCATGGATTTTGTTAAGGCACAGAGGCTCATCACGCAACACAAGGGAGCACTCACAGGAAGGTGAGCTGCTGCAGGCCGCCGAGACCAGCAGGCAGCAACCCGGTGAACTTGTTGTGACTCACGTCGCTGCATGGCAGGCGAGATGATGCAGATGCCGACAATAGTGAGGATGGTGATGGTGATGGTGATGGTGATGGTGATGGTGATGGTCATGGTCATGGTCATGGTCATGGTCATGGTGATGGTGGTGGTGATGGTGATGGTGATGATGATGGTGATGGTGATGGTGGTGATGATGGTGATGATGGTGATGATGGTGATGGTGATGGTGATGATGATGGTGATGATGGTGATGGTGATGATGATGGTGATGATGGTGATGATGGTGATGGTGATGGTGATGATGTTGGCAGCAGCAGACAAGCAACGGGAACACCTGAGGGAACAAACATGTGGAAGGCATGATCTGAGGCTGCAAGTAGCCCTTGCCATGAAGTGGTGCCACAACAACACAGCTTAAAGTCCAAGACCTGAATTACTCAACGCAAGTCAACGCGGGGCAAAACTGTGGGCTGCGGCAGGCAAACTGTGCACAGTTTGCCTTCTTTTTTTTGTGATTCGGGTCTTGGGCTTTAAATTGCACACATTAATTCACAGGAAGCCTCAACGGAATACGAGAGCACGCCACCTATGCTGAGTGAGAGGCAAAGAGGGAACTTGGAGCTCTTTGAGAAGGGCCATCCGTGTGATCTCTGAGAGCATGGGTTCTTGACAAGTTACAATGACGTTAAGGGCAAGGAGGGAACGCACAGGTGTGTGAGATTGGGCATGCCTGTGATCCATGAGGGCAGCGATCCTTCCAATCTGTTGTACCCTAAATCCCTGTGAGCCGTGCAGGCGAGAACGCAGATGCGCGAGCCCGCAGGCAAGAACACAAGCACAAAATTTAAGCAGGCAAAATATGCATAGGGGAGTGGGGGTGAGCACCGGTGCACTCTATTTTGGACTTCGGCTGCCAACCTTTTGTTTACTCTATTTTATATTGAGTAGGTTATTTGTTGTTTAGGTATAGAATTGTTATCCCAATCTTATCCAGGTTAGGATTCCCTCAGGAACCAACTAATCCACCAGCTCATCATTGGAGATTTGGTCGGATTCCCAACCCATCGGTTCCCTTCTCTTCTTCTACCCCTTCCTGTTTGTACTTAAGACCGAGTGCCTTTAATCATCAATCAATCTAATCAAGCTCCTTTTCTGACACCATCACCATAAATGGACACAACCAGGCATCCAGACATCCAGGCAAGCAGTGCGCAAGAAGCAGGTGACGTCAACCCCCGGGGTGGTGCACCTGTGGAGTCAACTTGCTGCAAGTGATTCACACAACAGCCGTGCTTGCTGCAAGTGATTCACACAACCGCCGTGCTTGCTGCAAGTGATTCACACAACAGCCGTGCTTGCTGCAAGTGATTCACACAACAGCCGTGCTTGCTGCAAGTGATTCACACAACAGCCGTGCTTGCTGCAAGTGATTCACACAACAGCCGTGCTTGCTGCAAGTGATTCACACAACAGCCGTGCTTGCTGCAAGTGATTCACACAACAGCCGTGCTTGCTGCAAGTGATTCACACAACAGCCGTGCTTGCTGCAAGTGATTCACACAACAGCCGTGCTTGCTGCAAGTGATTCACACAACAGCCGTGCTTGCTGCAAGTGATTCACACAACAGCCGTGCTTGCTGCAAGTGATTCACACAACAGCCGTGCTTGCTGCAAGTGATTCACACAACAGCCGTGCTTGCTGCAAGTGATTCACACAACAGCCGTGCTTGCTGCAAGTGATTCACACAACAGCCGTGCTTGCTGCAAGTGATTCACACAACAGCCGTGCTTGCTGCAAGTGATTCACACAACAGCCGTGCTTGCTGCAAGTGATTCACACAACAGCCGTGCTTGCTGCAAGTGATTCACACAACAGCCGTGCTTGCTGCAAGTGATTCACACAACAGCCGTGCTTGCTGCAAGTGATTCACACAACAGCCGTGCTTGCTGCAAGTGATTCACACAACAGCCGTGCTTGCTGCAAGTGATTCACACAACAGCCGTGCTTGCTGCAAGTGATTCACACAACAGCCGTGCTTGCTGCAAGTGATTCACACAACAGCCGTGCTTGCTGCAAGTGATTCACGCAACAGCCGTGCTTGCTGCAAGTGATTCACACAACAGCCGTGCTTGCTGCAAGTGATTCACACAACAGCCGTGCTTGCTGCAAGTGATTCACACAACAGCCGTGCTTGCTGCAAGTGATTCACACAACAGCCGTGCTTGCTGCAAGTGATTCACACAACAGCCGTGCTTGCTGCAAGTGATTCACACAACAGCCGTGCTTGCTGCAAGTGATTCACACAACAGCCGTGCTTGCTGCAAGTGATTCACACAACAGCCGTGCTTGCTGAAAGTGATTCACACAACAGCCGTGCTTGCTGCAAGTGATTCACACAACAGCCGTGCTTGCTGCAAGTGATTCACACAACAGCCGTGCTTGCTGCAAGTGATTCACACAACAGCCGTGCTTGCTGCAAGTGATTCACACAACAGCCGTGCTTGCTGCAAGTGATTCACACAACAGCCGTGCTTGCTGCAAGTGATTCACACAACAGCCGTGCTTGCTGCAAGTGATTCACACAACAGCCGTGCTTGCTGCAAGTGATTCACACAACAGCCGTGCTTGCTGCAAGTGATTCACACAACAGCCGTGCTTGCTGCAAGTGATTCACACAACAGCCGTGCTTGCTGCAAGTGATTCACACAACAGCCGTGCTTGCTGCAAGTGATTCACACAACAGCCGTGCTTGCTGCAAGTGATTCACACAACAGCCGTGCTTGCTGCAAGTGATTCACACAACAGCCGTGCTTGCTGCAAGTGATTCACACAACAGCCGTGCTTGCTGCAAGTGATTCACACAACAGCCGTGCTTGCTGCAAGTGATTCACACAACAGCCGTGCTTGCTGCAAGTGATTCACACAACAGCCGTGCTTGCTGCAAGTGATTCACACAACAGCCGTGCTTGCTGCAGGTGATTCACACAACAGCCGTGCTTGCTGCAAGTGATTCACACAACAGCCGTGCTTGCTGCAAGTGATTCACACAACAGCCGTGCTTGCTGCAAGTGATTCACACAACAGCCGTGCTTGCTGCAAGTGATTCACACAACAGCCGTGCTTGCTGCAAGTGATTCACACAACAGCCGTGCTTGCTGCAAGTGATTCACACAACAGCCGTGCTTGCTGCAAGTGATTCACACAACAGCCGTGCTTGCTGCAAGTGATTCACACAACAGCCGTGCTTGCTGCAAGTGATTCACACAACAGCCGTGCTTGCTGCAAGTGATTCACACAACAGCCGTGCTTGCTGCAAGTGATTCACACAACAGCCGTGCTTGCTGCAAGTGATTCACACAACAGCCGTGCTTGCTGCAAGTGATTCACACAACAGCCGTGCTTGCTGCAAGTGATTCACACAACAGCCGTGCTTGCTGCAAGTGATTCACACAACAGCCGTGCTTGCTGCAAGTGATTCACACAACAGCCGTGCTTGCTGCAAGTGATTCACACAACAGCCGTGCTTGCTGCAAGTGATTCACACAACAGCCGTGCTTGCTGCAAGTGATTCACACAACAGCCGTGCTTGCTGCAAGTGATTCACACAACAGCCGTGCTTGCTGCAAGTGATTCACACAACAGCCGTGCTTGCTGCAAGTGATTCACACAACAGCCGTGCTTGCTGCAAGTGATTCACACAACAGCCGTGCTTGCTGCAAGTGATTCACACAACAGCCGTGCTTGCTGCAAGTGATTCACACAACAGCCGTGCTTGCTGCAAGTGATTCACACAACAGCCGTGCTTGCTGCAAGTGATTCACACAACAGCCGTGCTTGCTGCAAGTGATTCACACAACAGCCGTGCTTGCTGCAAGTGATTCACACAACAGCCGTGCTTGCTGCAAGTGATTCACACAACAGCCGTGCTTGCTGCAAGTGATTCACACAACAGCCGTGCTTGCTGCAAGTGATTCACACAACAGCCGTGCTTGCTGCAAGTGATTCACACAACAGCCGTGCTTGCTGCAAGTGATTCACACAACAGCCGTGCTTGCTGCAAGTGATTCACACAACAGCCGTGCTTGCTGCAAGTGATTCACACAACAGCCGTGCTTGCTGCAAGTGATTCACACAACAGCCGTGCTTGCTGCAAGTGATTCACACAACAGCCGTGCTTGCTGCAAGTGATTCACACAACAGCCGTGCTTGCTGCAAGTGATTCACACAACAGCCGTGCTTGCTGCAAGTGATTCACACAACAGCCGTGCTTGCTGCAAGTGATTCACACAACAGCCGTGCTTGCTGCAAGTGATTCACACAACAGCCGTGCTTGCTGCAAGTGATTCACACAACAGCCGTGCTTGCTGCAAGTGATTCACACAACAGCCGTGCTTGCTGCAAGTGATTCACACAACAGCCGTGCTTGCTGCAAGTGATTCACACAACAGCCGTGCTTGCTGCAAGTGATTCACACAACAGCCGTGCTTGCTGCAAGTGATTCACACAACAGCCGTGCTTGCTGCAAGTGATTCACACAACAGCCGTGCTTGCTGCAAGTGATTCACACAACAGCCGTGCTTGCTGCAAGTGATTCACACAACAGCCGTGCTTGCTGCAAGTGATTCACGCAACAGCCGTGCTTGCTGCAAGTGATTCACACAACAGCCGTGCTTGCTGCAAGTGATTCACACAACAGCCGTGCTTGCTGCAAGTGATTCACACAACAGCCGTGCTTGCTGCAAGTGATTCACACAACAGCCGTGCTTGCTGCAAGTGATTCACACAACAGCCGTGCTTGCTGCAAGTGATTCACACAACAGCCGTGCTTGCTGCAAGTGATTCACACAACAGCCGTGCTTGCTGCAAGTGATTCACACAACAGCCGTGCTTGCTGCAAGTGATTCACACAACAGCCGTGCTTGCTGCAAGTGATTCACACAACAGCCGTGCTTGCTGCAAGTGATTCACACAACAGCCGTGCTTGCTGCAAGTGATTCACACAACAGCCGTGCTTGCTGCAAGTGATTCACACAACAGCCGTGCTTGCTGCAAGTGATTCACACAACAGCCGTGCTTGCTGCAAGTGATTCACACAACAGCCGTGCTTGCTGCAAGTGATTCACACAACAGCCGTGCTTGCTGCAAGTGATTCACACAACAGCCGTGCTTGCTGCAAGTGATTCACACAACAGCCGTGCTTGCTGCAAGTGATTCACACAACAGCCGTGCTTGCTGCAAGTGATTCACACAACAGCCGTGCTTGCTGCAAGTGATTCACACAACAGCCGTGCTTGCTGCAAGTGATTCACACAACAGCCGTGCTTGCTGCAAGTGATTCACACAACAGCCGTGCTTGCTGCAAGTGATTCACACAACAGCCGTGCTTGCTGCAAGTGATTCACACAACAGCCGTGCTTGCTGCAAGTGATTCACACAACAGCCGTGCTTGCTGCAAGTGATTCACACAACAGCCGTGCTTGCTGCAAGTGATTCACACAACAGCCGTGCTTGCTGCAAGTGATTCACACAACAGCCGTGCTTGCTGCAAGTGATTCACACAACAGCCGTGCTTGCTGCAAGTGATTCACACAACAGCCGTGCTTGCTGCAGTGACAGCACGAGCAGGCGAGCTTGAAAGAGGGCCACGTGGCGCGGATATAGAAGCCAGACGCCCATGCGGTCTAGTCTCGTGTGACAGGAGGCACGCACGGCTGCACTGCAGGCGAGCACAGAGTCACAGTCGTATGCTGCTGGCCCATGCTCTTCCATGCTACTCCATGCTTGAAGGCGATGCTGCATGGCACCCCATTTTACTAATTTTGCTTGCTGCACCATCCTCCCAAGCACCCAGACACACAGTGGCTGGTAGACCTGTGGCCCACAGAGATAACTTCTAAGTCGACTAATAAGTTCCTTCCAAAACTCCATGCACGCTTTGGCTGTTATGGCTTCCGCTCACAGAATTTGCAGGCGGGAGAGGCGGGAGAGGGTGGTGGCGATGTGGCCGGTCAAGGAGTTGTTGGCCACGTTGCTGCCGCGCCATGCATGACATGGGGCGTGGGGAATGGGGCATGTGGCATGGGGCGTGGGGAATGGGGCATGTGGCATGGGGCGTGGGGAATGGGGCATGTGGCATGGGGCGTGGGGAATGGGGCATGTGGCATGGGGCGTGGGGAATGGGGCATGTGGCATGGGGCGTGGGGAATGGGGCATGTGGCATGGGGCGTGGGGAATGGGGCATGTGGCATGGGGCGTGGGGAATGGGGCATGTGGCATGGGGCATGGGGCACGTGGCATGGGGCGTGGGGAATGGGGCATGTGGCATGGGGCGTGGGGAACGCGGCACGGGTGATCTGACATGGGTAATGAGGCACGGGAATGTGGTCACTGGCTCATAACTTGAATCCACGCTCGCACGGTGGGCTCACTCACAGCGACGTGATGCCCTCCATGTTGCCGATGCCTTGGGGAATGCTGCCTGTGAACCGGTTGCTGAATAAATCCCTGCACCACAGACCAACGAGCAACACATGAGAACACATGAACCAACTTGCACTCTGTGTGTGTGTGTGTGTGTGTGTGTGTGTGTGTGCGTGCGTGCGTGCGTGCGTGCGTGCGTGCGTGTGTGTGTGTGTGTGTGTGTCGCACCACACTATGCAGCCTAGCCTGTCCAGCAAAATGGGGGAAAGCAGCAGAAGGTGGTTAAGATGATCTCCCAGTCATCCTCCTTCCCTGAATGTGGCAAATCAAGATTTGAATCTGAAGACTTTCAGACCCCATCACAGTGAACCTCCTTCCCTGGACGAGAGACTCTAAGAATATTTAGAAGTAACGAGCATGAAGCGCGTGGACAATAATGGAGTTGGCAGAAGTACTCGTTGGTGAGGCGCCTCTGCACTCGGCTGCTGAGCCATGAGGGGCTCGCGACCAGTTGTAGTTGACTCGGAAATCGTCTTAGAAATCAGCTCGTGGACAATGATGAGAGCATTCGCATCACATGATCACCACGCACTGTGTTGTGAGGAGCACTGTGTTGTGAGGAGCACTGTGTTGTGAGGAGCACTGTGTTGTGAGGAGCACTGTGTTGTGAGGAGCACTGTGTTGTGAGGAGCACCGTGTTTTGAGGAGCACCGTGTTGTGAGGAGCACCGTGTTGTGAGGAGCACTGTGTTGTGAGGAGCACCGTGTTATGAGGAGCACTGTGTTGTGAGGAGCACCGTGTTGTGAGGAGCACCGTGTTGTGAGGAGCACCGTGTTGTGAGGATCACCGTGTTGTGAGGAGCACCGTGTTGTGAGGAGCACTGTGTTGTGAGGAGCACCGTGTTGTGAGGAGCACCGTGTTGTGAGGAGCACTGTGTTGTGAGGAGCACCGTGTTGTGAGGAGCACCGTGTTGTGCGGAGCACTGTGTTGTGAGGAGCACTGTGTTGTGAGGAGCACTGTGTTGTGAGGAGCACTGTGTTGTGAGGAGCACTGTGTTGTGAGGAGCACTGTGTTGTGAGGAGCACTGTGTTGTGAGGAGCACCGTGTTGTGAGGAGCACCGTGTTGTGAGGAGCACTGTGTTGTGAGGAGCACTGTGTTGTGAGGAGCACCGTGTTGTGAGGAGCACTGTGTTGTGAGGAGCACCGTGTTGTGAGGAGCACTGTGTTGTGAGGAGCACTGTGTTGTGAGGAGCACTGTGTTGTGAGGAGCACTGTGTTGTGAGGAGCACCGTGTAGTGAGGAGCACTGTGTTGTGAGGAGCACTGTGTTGTGAGGAGCACTGTGTTGTGAGGAGCACTGTGTTGTGAGGAGCACTGTGTTGTGAGGAGCACTGTGTTGTGAGGAGCACTGTGTTGTGAGGAGCACCGTGTTGTGAGGAGCACTGTGTTGTGAGGAGCACCGTGTTGTGAGGAGCACTGTGTTGTGAGGAGCACTGTGTTGTGAGGAGCACTGTGTTGTGAGGAGTACTGTGTTGTGAGGAGCACTGTGTTGTGAGGAGCACTGTGTTGTGAGGAGCACTGTGTTGTGAGGAGCACCGTGTTGTGAGGAGCACTGTGTTGTGAGGAGCACCGTGTTGTGAGGAGCACTGTGTTGTGAGGAGCACCGTGTTGTGAGGAGCACTGTGTTGTGAGGAGCACTGTGTTGTGAGGAGCACCGTGTTGTGAGGAGCACTGTGTTGTGAGGAGCACCGTGTTGTGAGGAGCACTGTGTTGTGAGGAGCACCGTGTTGTGAGGAGCACTGTGTTGTGAGGAGCACTGTGTTGTGAGGAGCACCGTGTTGTGAGGAGCACTGTGTTGTGAGGAGCACTGTGTTGTGAGGAGCACTGTGTTGTGAGGAGCACTGTGTTGTGAGGAGCACTGTGTTGTGAGGAGCACTGTGTTGTGAGGAGCACCGTGTTGTGAGGAGCACTGTGTTGTGAGGAGCACCGTGTTGTGAGGAGCACTGTGTTGTGAGGAGCACTGTGTTGTGAGGAGCACTGTGTTGTGAGGAGCACTGTGTTGTGAGGAGCACTGTGTTGTGAGGAGCACTGTGTTGTGAGGAGCACCGTGTTGTGAGGAGCACTGTGTTGTGAGGAGCACTGTGTTGTGAGGAGCACTGTGTTGTGAGGAGCACTGTGTTGTGAGGAGCACTGTGTGTTAAAATATATATTGTGTAGCATGCCAACACATGTGACTGTACACCAATTGTGGTGTACAGTTGGGTTGGGACTACACCCAACTTTGGGTGTAGTCTTGCACTTTGGGGTGCCAATCCACCCAATTGTGGTGGAGCCCCCATATGCAACCCTCTTGACTTGTGGGTACCTCACTTCCCACAATTGAGGTTACCCCAAGCCAAGTGGGCCTAGGGTTGCCTCACTTCTACAAAGTGTGGGCAACCCAACCCACTTGACCTATGGTTCCCTCACTTCCCCAAGTGAGGTCAACCCAACCTATGGTCACTTTCATCCTTCCCTTCCAACCTTCCCTTCCAACTATGTATGCTAGGTTGTTCCTCTAATCTATTTACTTGTTCAATTCACAATCTTCACATGGTATAGAGCTAGTTGTTCCTAAGCCTTTTCTCTCCCTCCCTCAAAGTTTTTTCTTCCCCATGGGCCCACCCCACAGCCACAAACCCCCTACGTGTGGCTCAACCTAGCATCTCCTTGGCACGACCTACGTCGTCGCCGCCCTCCCCTCCCTCCGCCGTGATTGCGCCCTCCTCGCCTGCGGATCCCACCGCCGCGAGTGCATCACCGCCCCCCGTCGCCGCGACACACCGTCGCTGCCCCCCCCCCCCCCCTCCCCCTTTTTTCCGCCGCCGCGCCTTCTCTGGCGCCGCCTGCACATCCCGCCGCGACGCCTCGTCGCCGCCTCCTCCTCCCCCTGCCGCGACCCCCCGTCGCCGTCTCCCTCCCGCCGCCGCGCCTACTTCGGCGTCGCCCGCGCATCCCTCCGCCGCGACGCCCCGTCGTCGCCTGCCCCTCCCGCTGCCGCGACGTCGCGTCGCCGCCTCCCCCCACCGCCGCCGCACCTTCCTCGGCGCCGCCTGCGCATCCCGCCGCCGCGACGCCCCGTCGTCGCCTCCTGTCCCGCCGCCGCGACTTCGCGTCGCCGCCTGCACTCCCCATCGCCGCAACCCCCCGTCGCCGCCTACGCATCCCGCCGCCGCGACCCGCTCGTCGCCGCCTGCACGATCCGCCGCCGCGACTTCGCGTCGCCGCCTGCACGACCCGCCGCCGCGACTTCGCGTCGCCGCCTGCACGACCCGCCGCCGCGACTTCGCGTCGCCGCCTGCGCATCCCGCCGCCGCGACCTTCTCGTCGCCGCCTGCACCCCTTGCCGCCGCGACCTTCTCGTCGCCGCCTGCACCCCTTGCCGCCGCGACCTAAAGTCGCCGCCCGCGCGACCTCCTGCCGCGACCTGCTCGTCGCCGCCCGCACATCCCGTCGCCGCGACCTAACAATCGCCGCCCCCGCATCCTACCGCCGCGACCTGCTCGTCGCCGCCCGCGCATCCCGCCGCCGCGCCTTCCTCGTCGCCGCCCGCGCATCCCACCGCTGCGCCTTCCCCGTCGCCGCCCGCGCATCCCTCCGCCGCGCCCTCCTCGTCGCCGCTCGCTCATTCCGCCGCCACGATTCCCTCGTCGCCACCCGCGCATCCCGCCGCCGCACGTTCCTCGTAGCAGCCGCCTCATCCCGCAGCAGCAGCGTCATTGGCAGCAACAGCTTCGCCCACAGCTACACCTGCGTTCTCCCTCCCCCTCCCCCTTTCCTCCTCCTCTCCTCCCACGCAGCAGCAGCCGGGACAGCTCAGCAGCCACAGCAGCAACAGCGGCAGCAGCGGCAGCATCAGGAGCAGCGACAGCAGCGGCAGCAGCTGCATCCACCATCTTCCTCCCCCTCCTCCCCTCCCCCCCCCCCTCCTCCCTCTCAGCAGCAGCAGCGGCAGCAGCGGCAGCAGCGGCAGCAGCGGCAGCAGCGGCAGCAGCGGCAGCAGCAGCAGCAGCCGGAGAAGAACTCCACTCCCCGCAGCAGCACCCCCCCCCCCCCTCCCCCCCCCCCCCCCCCCCCCCTCCTCCCTCTCGGCTGCCGCGGGTCCACCCGCCGTCGCCCTCCCACTTGACCGCCGCGGGTCCACCCGCCGCCGTCCACCTCGAGGCCGCCGCGGGTCCACCCGCCGTCGCCCCTCATGGCTACCACTCCTCCCCCTCTCCCCCCTCCCATTGACGCCTCCTCCGTCGACAAGCTTCAGCTTGCCGCGGACCGCTCGGCGATCAACTGGCATTCCTTCGTCGGGAGCATCCGCCGTGTTCTCCAAGATGCATTCGTCGGACCCTACTGCGTCCTTGACGTCCTCCTCCGCCGCCCGCAAGCCCTCCAGCCCACGGCACCCAATCACCCCGGCGAACCCCCTCCACCCCCCATTCCTCCTGGTCCTCCTCCTCCTGAACCCACCTTGGAGATCGCCACTACCCCAGCGCTCCAAGATGCCGCCGATGCCGCATTTCTCCACGATCGCCGCGAATACCTCATCCGCAAGGCGGAGCATGAGGTTGCGGTACATAACCACGACTTCGCGGTAGCGGAACGCGCCAATCGCCTGGCGCTCCTTGATGAGTACAATACGGCCATGGCGGACTACCTCCCTCGGAGCATCGCATGGGCCACTGCTGACAACCGCGCCTGCACCATCCTCCTCGGCGCACTCCCTGATACCCTCATGCGCCGTTTCCAAGCTCGCGAGATGCGCGCCTCCCTCATCTGGGCCGAGCTCCAGGCCATGTTCGAGCGTCGCGACATCAGCTCTGTCGGCGCCCTGTTCCAGGAGTACTTCTCCATCACCCTCGCCACTTGTGATGGCGCAGTTGACTACGTGGGGCGCATGCAGGAGGTCGCTGATCGCCTTGCGGCACGCCAAGCTGCCCTCCCCGAGCCCCTGCAAATCCACCGCCTCCTCTACAACCTCACCCCGGACTACGAGTCCCGCCTCCATACCTTCACTGAGGCCAACCCCATGGCCGGCCTCGACGACGTGGTCCAGTGGATCATTGACACGGAGGTCAAGCTCCGCACCCCCGTTGTCAACCTTACCACCCCTCAGTCCTCCTCCTCCACCTCCCTCAACGCTACGCAGCCGCGCAACCAGGGTGGTCGCAGCGGCGGCGGCGGAGGCCGTGGAGCGGGTGGCGGTGGTGGTGGTGGTGGAGGCCGTGGTGGTGGCGGTGGTGGTAGTGGTGGCCGTGGTGGCCGTGGTGGCGGTGGTGGTGGTGCTGGCAGCGCCCCTGCTGGAGGTGCTGTGACTCGAGGCGGACGCCTTGGCACTCTCCCCCCATGCACATATGTGCGTCGCCATGGTCCCCATGCAGGTACCCCTTGCGGCCAGACCAACCATCCTCCCACCACGTGCTTTAAGGCACTCGACGACGCCTGGTTTGATCGCGGCAACACTGGCACCCCTCCTCGCTGGAACTCGGTCACACCTCGCCCCTCCTTAGTGGATATTCAAACCCTCCCCTCTTTCCTTCCTGCTCACCTCCGCATGGTTACCCCCTCCCCACCCTCACAGCTGCAGCAGTTTCAGCAGCACCAGCAGCAGCAGCACCTGTACTTCCACCAGCAGCAGCAGCAGCCGCAGTTTCTCCAGCCCCAGCAGCCGCCGCCGCCGCAGTTCTTCCAGCCACCGCCGCAGCAGCAGCAGCAGTTCCTTCCCCCACCCTGGCAGCAGCAGCCACTCACCTTCGGCACAGCGGCCATGGCCGCTCATACCTCCCTTCCTCCTCCTCCCCCCTGGGTTTCCCTCTCCTCTGCCCCCCCCAGTGTTCCCGACACTTCTGGTAGTTTCCTTGGTAATATCAGTGTTGCACCGTCCGTCGCTGCCATGTATCCCTCTGCTATCAATGAGACTTCGTTTCACTACCCCGTCCCACCCCCTCCTCCCTCTTCTCCCACCCTGGACTTTGTCCTTGACAGTGGAGCCACTGAAACCGCACTGAAAGACGCTGGCACTCTCACCCCACTACCACTTCCCACTCAGGTTCATGGGGCTGATTCCAGCTTTTCCATTCCATGCACTCACCTCTCCACCCTCCCTTGCACTGCCTTCCCCTCCGGTAAGGTCACAGGTCTCCACATCCCCACTCTCCGCAACAACCTCCTCTCCCACCGTGAGCTCCAAGGTGTTGGTATCACTGCCATTTACCCCGGTTATGCCAATTACTGTGATCTCTACCAAACCTCCTCCGGTCGCTTCCTTCTCCGCATTCCGCTTTGCCCCCGCACTCGCCTCTACACACTCCGCACGCCTCGCCCATCCTTCTGCCACGTCACCACTCGTTCCGGTGCTTCCACCGGTCCACCTCCTCCTCCTTTACTTCCCCCTTCCCCTCCCCCTCAAGTATCCTCTTCTCCCTCCCCACCATCCTCCTCCTCCCCTCCCGTTCCTTCCATCACCCCATCTCCCTCCTCCTCCACTACCCTCTCCCACCCTGCTGTCCTCTTACACCACAGACTCGGCCATCCCAACTTCACCGCCCTTCGCACCACAGTCACCTCTCGCCTCCTCCGCAGCCTTCCTCCTGTTCTACCTCCCCTCCCCTCCTCCCCCTCTCCCCCATGCCCTTCATGCATTCACGGCAAGCTCAAACAGTCCCCCCACCACAGTCATCCCACCTTCGCCGCCGCCCCCATTGACCTTGTGCACATGGACCTCTGGGGCCCCTATCCCATCCGCTCCCGCCAGGGGCATCGGTACATGCTCGTCCTCGTTGACGACCACAGCCGGTACTCCACCACCTTCTTCCTTCACACGAAAGACCAGGTGCCGGCAGTGGTCATCAACTGGGCCGAACAGTGCCGCAATCACTTCAAACGCCCCATCGGCCGCCTTCACTCTGACGGTGGGGGTGAGTTCATCAATAACACCCTTGCCACATACTGCAACACCTACGGCATCCAACAGACCTCCACCCTTCCCCACTCCCCTCAGCAGAACGGCATTGCTGAGAGCCGCATTCGTGAGATCACCAAGATAGCTCGCTGTCTCATTGCTCATGCCTCCACCCCTCCTTCCCTCTGGAGCTATGCCCTCCTCCACGCCGCTCTTCTCCTTAATCTCCGCTCCCACCCTCAGCATCCTTCCTCCTCCCCTACAGAGCTTTGGTCCAACGCCAAACCCGACGCTGCCGGCCTTCGCGTTTGGGGCTGCAAGGCCTTCGTTCTCATCCCACCCGCCGACCGCTCCCGCGCCGCTGGCAAGCTTGCTCCTCGCGCCCTGGAATGCGTTTACCTTGGGCACAATCGCGACTCCCCAGGCTACCTCTTCCTCCACCCTCCCACCAATCGCCTCATCCGCAGCGGCGACGTCATCTTCGACGAATCCGTCCCCTATTACTCCACTCCTCCCCCTGATCCTCTCCCTCCTCCCACTCGTCCCCTTGCTTGGACCGACACCGTCCTCCCGCCCCTTCTCCCTCCAGCCCCTCTCCTCCCACCCGTCGCAGCTCCGCTCCCGCCCTCCTCCTCCGCCGATGTCTACGACCCTGCCGCACCCGCTTCCCCCGCTCACTCGGCCGCACCCCCTCCCCCCCCTCCCTCCTCCTCTCCCTCTCCCTCCTTCCAGCAGCCGGATCAGCAGCAGCAGCAGCAGCAGCAGCAGCCGCAGCAGCAACAGCAGCAGCAGCAGCAGCCGGGACAGCAGCCGGGGCAGCAGCAGCAGCAGCAGCCGGGCCAGCAGCAGCAGCAGCAGCCGGGCCAGCAGCAGCAGCAGCAGCCGGGCCAGCAGCAGCAGCAGCAGCCGGGCCAGCAGCAGCAGCAGCAGCGGCAGCCGGGACAGCAGCAGCAGCAGCAGCAGCAGCAGCAGCAGCAGCAGCAGCAGCAGCAGCAGCCTCAGCAGCCTCAGCAGCCGCAGCACCAGCACGGTCAGCCGCAGCCGCAGCAACAAGGGCAGCAGCTTCCGCAGCACCAGCAGCAGCAGCGGCGTCGTGCCACTTCCCGTTCCTCCCCCTTCCTCCTCCTTTACATCCATACCCGCTCTGTGGACAAAATCCTTGGGGCTCCTCCTCCTGCCTCCATTCAGCTCCTTGAGGACTCCCATGAGGAGTTTCTTAACATTCGGGAGCACACTCCATTCCTTGCCGCCCTCTACCTTGACTTCCTGGGCTTTCCTGTCCTTGGCGCCACTACTACCCCCACCATCTTCACTCCCTCCACCTTCCAGGAAGCCATCACCTGCCCTGATGCGGATAAATGGATAGCAGCGATCTTCCTGGAGTGTGAGGCTTTCATTCGCAACGACTCCTTTGTCGATGTCCCCCTCCCTGCTGGCGCTAATCTCGTTGACGGCAAATGGGTCTTTCGGGTGAAGCAGCTGCCGGGCGAGGAACCAGTGTACAAGGCCCGCTACTGCGCCAAGGGGTTCACGCAGACTTGGGCTGAGGACTACTGGTTCACCTACGCCCCCACCGCCAAACCACCCACCCTTCGCGCCGCCATGGACATTGGTGCACGTGACGACATGGAAATCGACTCCATGGACGTCTCCAATGCGTTCCTGCAGGGCGACTTGCATGAGCGCATTTTCCTCCGGCGACCCCCCGGGTTCCACGCAGCCTTTCCTGAGAACACTGTCTGGCAGCTGCGTCGCCCCGTATACGGCTTGAAGCAGGCACCGCGTGAGTGGCATGCGAAGCTGGCTGCCACCTTGGGGTCCCTCGGCTTCTCTGCTTCCCACTCCGACGCCAGCCTCTTCATCCGCTCCTCCCCCCGCCGCTTCTTCATTCTGGTATATGTCGACGACATGATCCTGCTCTCTAACACCAAGGCCGACATGGGGCAGGTGAAGCTGTCCCTGCAGCAGCGGCTCAAGTGCAAAGACCTTGGCGCCCTCACTCACTACCTCGGCATGACCATCACGCGCAACCGCCCTGCTCGCACAATCACCCTCTCCCAGTCCCATTACATCGGCCAGGTCTTGGAGAAGTTCGACATGGCGCAAGCCAAGCCTGTTTCCACCCCGCTCCCCTTCGGTCACCAACTCGCTCCACCCACCTCCCCCACCTCCTCCCCCCACCCCTATGCCGAGCTCGTTGGGTCCTTGATGTACGCAATGATGTGCACCCGCCCCGACCTCGCCTACCCCATCAGCGTGCTCGCTCGCTTTGTCGGCACCGGTCGTCACTCTGAGGAGCACTGGAAAGCTGCCAAGCGGGTCCTCCGCTACCTTCGCGGGACCAGGGACCTTGCCCTCACCCTCGGCGGCCCTTCCCGTCCCCTTCTCTCGGGCTTCAGTGACTCCTCATGGGCTGACACGCAGCCGGACCGCCGCTCCTCCCAGGGCTACGGCTTCACCCTTGACAGCGGCCTCATCAGCTGGCGCTCCACCCGCTCCTCCGCCATCTCTCTCTCTACCTGCGAAGCCGAGCTCTACGCTGGCACCATGGCCGCCCAGGAGTCGCGCTGGCTCTGCTTCCTTCTTGCGGAGCTTGGCGCCCCCCAGACGTGCCCCACTCTCTGGTGCGACAACGCCAGCACCATCCATCTCACTCAGGACCCCGTCTATCACGCCCGCTCCAAGCACATCGAACTCCGCTACTTCTTCGTTCGCGAGCTCGTCCAGAAGGGCCTCATTGCCGTTCGCAAGATTGCAACCGAGGCCAACTTGGCCGACATCTTCACTAAGGCCCTCCTTCGCCCCGCGCACTCTGCCTTCCTCCGCCTCATTGGCCTTGCTCGCCCGGGCGCCCCTTGATTCAGGGGTTGTTCTCTTCTTGTGTTAGCATGCTAAGGGGTTGTGTTAAAATATATATTGTGTAGCATGCCAACACATGTAACTGTACACCAATTGTGGTGTACAGTTGGGTTGGGACTACACCCAACTTTGGGTGTAGTCTTGCACTTTGGGGTGCCAATCCACCCAATTGTGGTGGAGCCCCCAAATGCACCCCTCTTGACTTGTGGGTACCTCACTTCCCACAATTGAGGTTACCCCAAGCCAAGTGGGCCTCGGGTTGCCTCACTTCTACAAAGTGTGGGCAACCCAACCCACTTGACCTATGGTTCCCTCACTTCCCCAAGTGAGGTCAACCCAACCTATGGTCACTTTCATCCTTCCCTTCCAACCTTCCCTTCCAACTATGTATGCTAGGTTGTTCCTCTAATCTATTTACTTGTTCAATTCACAATCTTCACACTATGTTGTGAGGAGCACCGTGTTGTGAGGAGCACCGTGTTGTGAGGAGCACTGTGTTGTGAGGAGCACCATGTTGTGAGGAGCACTGTGTTGTGAGGAGCAACGTGTTATGAGGAGCACTGTGTTGTGAGGAGCACCGTGTTGTGAGGAGCACTGTGTTGTGAGGAGCACCGTGTTGTGAGGAGCACCGTGTTGTGAGGAGCACCGTGTTGTGAGGAGCACTGTGTTGTGAGGAGCACCGTGTTGTGAGGAGCACTGTGTTGTGAGGAGCACCGTGTTGTGAGGAGCACTGTGTTGTGAGGAGCACTGTGTTGTGAGGAGCACTGTGTTGTGAGGAGCACTGTGTTGTGAGGAGCACTGTGTTGTGAGGAGCACTGTGTTGTGAGGAGCACCGTGTTGTGAGGAGCACTGTGTTGTGAGGAGCACCATGTTGTGAGGAGCACTGTGTTGTGAGGAGCACTGTGTTGTGAGGAGCACCGTGTTGTGAGGAGCGCTGTGTTGTGAGGAGCACTGTGTTGTGAGGAGCACTGTGTTGTGAGGAGCACGGCGTTGTGAGGAGCACTGTGTTGTGAGGAGCACTGTGTTGTGAGGAGCACCGTGTTGTGAGGAGCACTGTGTTGTGAGGAGCACTGTGTTGTGAGGAGCACCGTGTTGTGAGGAGAACTGTGCTGTGAGGAGCACTGTGTTGTGAGGAGCACCGTGTTGTGAGGAGCACTGTGTTGTGAGGAGCACTGTGTTGTGAGGAGCACTGTGTTGTGAGGAGCACCGTGTTGTGAGGAGCACTGTGTTGTGAGGAGCACCGTGTTGTGAGGAGCACTGTGTTGTGAGGAGCACCGTGTTGTGAGAAGCACTGTGTTGTGAGGAGCACTGTGTTGTGAGGAGCACTGTGTTGTGAGGAGCACTGTGTTGTGAGAAGCACTGTGTTGTGAGGAGCACTGTGTTGTGAGGAGCACTGTGTTGTGAGGAGCACTGTGTTGTGAGGAGCACTGTGTTGTGAGGAGCACTGTGTTGTGAGGAGCACTGTGTTGTGAGGAGCACCGTGTTGTGAGGAGCACTGTGTTGTGGGGAGCACTGTGTTGTGAGGAGCACTGTGTTGTGAGGAGCACCGTGTTGTGAGGAGCACTGTGTTGTGAGGAGCACCGTGGTGTGAGGAGCACTGTGCTGTGAGGAGCACTGTGTTGTGAGGAGCACCGTGTTGTGAGGAGCACCGTGTTGTGAGGAGCACTGTGTTTTGAGGTTGCCTAGGGTTGCCTCACTTCTACAAAGTGTGGGCAACCCAACCCACTTGACCTATGGTTCCCTCACTTCCCCAAGTGAGGTCAACCCAACCTATGGTCACTTTCATCCTTCCCTTCCAACCTTCCCTTCCAACTATGTATGCTAGGTTGTTCCTCTAATCTATTTACTTGTTCAATTCACAATCTTCACACTGTGTTGTGAGGAGCACCGTGTTGTGAGGAGCACCGTGTTGTGAGGAGCACTGTGTTGTGAGGAGCACCATGTTGTGAGGAGCACTGTGTTGTGAGGAGCAACGTGTTATGAGGAGCACTGTGTTGTGAGGAGCACCGTGTTGTGAGGAGCACTGTGTTGTGAGGAGCACCGTGTTGTGAGGAGCACCGTGTTGTGAGGAGCACTGTGTTGTGAGGAGCACCGTGTTGTGAGGAGCACTGTGTTGTGAGGAGCACTGTGTTGTGAGGAGCACCGTGTTGTGAGGAGCACTGTGTTGTGAGAAGCACTGTGTTGTGAGGAGCACTGTGTTGTGAGGAGCACTGTGTTGTGAGGAGCACTGTGTTGTGAGGAGCACCGTGTTGTGAGGAGCACTGTGTTGTGAGGAGCACCGTGTTGTGAGGAGCACTGTGTTGTGAGGAGCACTGTGTTGTGAGGAGCACTGTGTTGTGAGGAGCACTGTGTTGTGAGGAGCACCGTGTTGTGAGGAGCACTGTGTTGTGAGGAGCACTGTGTTGTTAGGAGCACCGTGTTGTGAGGAGCACTGTGTTGTGAGGAGCACCGTGTTGTGAGGAGCACCGTGTTGTGAGGAGCACTGTGTTGTGAGGAGCACTGTGTTGTGAGGAGCACTGTGTTGTGAGGAGCACTGTGTTGTGAGGAGCACCGTGTTGTGAGGAGCACTGTGTTGTGAGGAGCACCGTGTTGTGAGGAGCACTGTGTTGTGAGGAGCACTGTGTTGTGAGGAGCACTGTGTTGTGAGGAGCACCGTGTTGTGAGGAGCACTGTGTTGTGAGGAGCACCGTGTTGTGAGGAGCACTGTGTTGTGAGGAGCACCGTGTTATGAGGAGCACTGTGTTGTGAGGAGCACCGTGTTGTGAGGAGCACTGTGTTGTGAGGAGCACCGTGTTGTGAGGAGCACTGTGTTGTGAGGAGCACCGTGTTGTGAGGAGCACTGTGTTGTGAGGAGCACCGTGTTGTGAGGAGCACTGTGTTGTGAGGAGCACTGTGTTGTGAGGAGCACCGTGTTGTGAGGAGCACTGTGTTGTGAGGAGCACTGTGTTGTGAGGAGCACTGTGTTGTGAGGAGCACTGTGTTGTGAGGAGCACTGTGTTGTGAGGAGCACTGTGTTGTGAGGAGCATTGTGTTGTGAGGAGCACTGTGTTGTGAGGAGCACCGTGTTGTGAGGAGCACTGTGTTGTGAGGAGCACTGTGTTGTGAGGAGCACTGTGTTGTGAGGAGCACTGTGTTGTGAGGAGCACTGTGTTGTGAGGAGCACCGTGTTGTGAGGAGCACTGTGTTGTGAGGAGCACTGTGTTGTTAGGAGCACCGTGTTGTGAGGAGCACTGTGTTGTGAGGAGCACCGTGTTGTGAGGAGCACCGTGTTGTGAGGAGCACTGTGTTGTGAGGAGCACTGTGTTGTGAGGAGCACTGTGTTGTGAGGAGCACTGTG